CCCATTTTTGAATACCCCCAGACCTTTTTAAGACCCCCAAACTCCATTTTTGGGACCCCCAGACCCCATTTTTAGGGACCCCCAGACCCATTTTTAGGGACCCCCAGCCCCATTTTTAGGACCCCCAAACCCTATTTTTGGGGAGCCCCCAGAGCCATTTTTTGGACCTCCCCAGATCCCAATTTTGGGGACCCCTCACGCCCCATTTTTAGGGACCCCCAGAACCATTTTTGGGGACCCCCAAACTCCATTTCTAGGACCCCCAAATCCCATTTTTGAATACCCCCAGACCCCAATTTTGGGCACCCCCAGACCCATTTTTGGGCACCCCCAGCCCCATTTTTGGGGTTCCCCCCCTTACCAGCTGCTGTAGCTCCGCCTCCAGCCCCGCCCTCCGGCGCCGCGCGCGGCCCTGGGCGGAGCCACGGTCAGCCACGCCCACCCAGGCCACGCCCACCGACCACACCCACACAGGCCCCGCCCACACCCCGCGGGCCACGCCCCCCTCTTGTACAATGGGAGGTGGCGCCAGTAAAGTCACGCCCACTCTCGAGAGGCCACGCCCACTCCCGACAGGCCACGCCCACCCAAACAGACCATTCCCACCTTAATAGGCCACGCCCACTCCCAACAGACCACGCCCACTCTCAACAGGCCACGCCCTCTCCGGGAGGCCACGCCCACTCCCGGCAGACCACGCCCACTCTCGAGATGCCACGCCCACTCCCGACAGACCACGCCCACCCAAACAGACCATTCCCACTTTAATAGGCCACGCCCACTGCCGACAGACCACGCCCACTCTCGAGAGGCCACGCCCACTCCCGGCAGACCACGCCCACCCCATTAACACCACTCGTCCCCGCGTTTTTGGGCGTGGCCCTGAGACCCCGCCCACCCCAAGCCACGCCCCTTTCGGCCACGCCCCTCTCACCATGGCGGCCGGGGGGGCTCAAGCGGCGCGCGGGGCCTGGGGGACAATGGGGACAGTGAGGGGACAGGAGGGGGGGGGGGGGGACAATGGAGACGAGGGAGGGACAATGGGGACAGTGAGGGGACAGGGGGGGGACACGGG